AACCAGACTGAGATAATAACTGCCATTAAGGTGTGCTGTACTGTGAGGTGTGTGCTTGTTTGGGACTCTGTCACGTAGTACTGTAATTATGTAACATGAGGACTGGTAATCTATGACGTTTGGCTTATGGATCACAGTAAAAGTCGACGCACAGAGAAAAAGAGCAAGTAGAGAAGAGGTCAAACAGCTTTTACAGAACAACCAAATGTGTGGTATGTTTGTAAGTGCAAACTTACATACATAAACACACTCAGAGACAGAGGGATTCAAAGTAGAATTGTTAAAAGTTGACTGATGGTTTGCTGTGTGGATGTAAATGGCCTACATTTTTTTGTGTATGTGTTTGTGTGTGTGGGATTGAAGCAAGAGGAATGCTGTATGGGTGGTCAATTACCATTTCAGCTGAGACCAACTGGCTTACTGGAAAGTAACATAGGATCCTTCCCATTCAGCAGGCCTTACCACCTCCAAGGTCAGACTCTGACTGTTTGTTTGTGTGTGTGGTACAGAGGGAAAGAGTTTTGTGATGGACTTCCTGCCCTGATCTCCAAAAAAAAAAAAAAAAAAACTTAGGCATTCGTTTTTTCTGTTTAAAAACAGCTGTATTTGCCTATAATTTTCTATTGCGTGCGCACATACACTTCTGTAAAAGTTTGGGGTCAGTAAGATTTTTAAAGAAGTCTCGTATGCTCACCAAGGCTGCGTTTATTTGATCAAAAATACAGTGGAAACTAATATTGTGAAATATTATTACATTTTAAAATAATACAATATAAAATTATACATGTTTTAAATACATTTTCAGCAGTCATTACTCCAGTCTTCAGTGTCACATATGCTGATTTGGTGCTCAAGAAACATTTCTTATTATTATCAATGTTGAAAACAGTTATGCTGCTTAATATTTTTATGGAAACTGTCATACATTTTGGAGGGGATTCGTGGATGAACAAAAAGTTCAAAAGAAATTAATGTAATAGAAATAGAAATCTTTAACACCTAACATTTGAACAGTGTTTGTATGTTTTGGCATTATGTTTCAAATCAGCAGATTCTCTGTGAAACATCAGATTGTTTTATGAATTGTGTAAATATTCACTTAATTCATACTATATACTTAATAATCTATATTATATTATATTATCCACTAGACTCCTGCCTAACTCTAATTATTGGATTTTTGGATATTTAACCCTGTGGAATCATTTATTCATGTATCATTCAGTCATACTACTAGTATAAGAGCAACAGTATCTGCAGCAACAGTGATAACAGTAACATCTGCTCTAATGGAAACAATAGCTAGTTTTATCTTGTAAATAAAGAGCCAGAACATTATAAAATAATGGTTGTGCTAAACATTTGTTTATAATCAAATAACCTCTTTTCACTCTTGCCTCTCTCTCATTCCCTGTACATCCTTCTCTTTGAGACATAATCCTAAAGCAATTTGCATTGTTTGAACCCTTCCGCTGTTTCTGCATGTAAAGGAGGCACTGGTGGGTACCTCCAGGCTGCTGTGGTGACCGTGAGAGGATATGTAGCAGCACAATGTCATCGGCACAACCGGGCCACAGCAACTGCTATTCCCACGACCCACAGAAATACCTCACCGGCCTTTAGAGAGCATGGCAGCATGTGTCTGTCAGTCCAACACAGAGCTAAAGCCCATGTGAATTCCTTAACGTATGCTCAAATATACACAAATGAGCTTTACAGCTGCTCTTTAAAGGATTCGGATCATAGAAGAGAGGGCAAAGTCGTGAGCTCACTGTTCCTATTAGCATCCCACGTCTAATGATGCGTCCCATCAGGGCAGTAGGACGAAACAGAGTACTGTAGCACCCTGGGAACAATCCTGGATCTGTGCTATCTGAAGATGTTGGTGGCTCAGACATGCCAGGTAACAGTATAACAGACAGGCTGATATTGCAGAAACTCAAATGCGCATGATGTGCTTCACCAGTAGAGGGCGACACAACACTCATTCTTGCACCCAAAAAGCTCTTGAGCTGTTGAAGAACTTTTCATCTTTATCATACCAGATGAATTATGTAATTACTGTTAGATAATGGAAGCACAAACAACAATATTTGTCTTTTTCATCAGTTTATTACTAAAATAGGTCTTCTGTAGGGTTTGTTTCATTTAGAGCTGGCATATTTTTGTATAAAGAGCTGACGGGTGTGGGTGTTTTTCAGGGGATTTTGTTTAGCTGAAGCGGACGCGGCGAATTGAGCCAACGGTGCTGTTTTGAGCACCCCAGTCAGAGAAGTTGTTGTAGTCCTTCTTTTCTAGGATGTAATGGGCTCCTCTGTAGTTCGGCTCCTGGTACGCCACCCAGCTGAAAGAGAGATTGGAAATATAGATTTAAAAAATGCACACAATACTGAATATATACAGAACAGAATAAATATCCAAGTACTTTAACATCAGTGAACTTGTACTCACGTTCCGCCCATTACTCTGATGGAGGACACCCTGTTAAGGCTGTGACGGCTCATCAGGTTGGGGATGTCATCATGGAGCTCTGTCTTCTTGCCTGAGAAACCTGCCCTCTCAAACAGCTGTGCACGGGCAGTGTTGGTGTCCTAGCCCACCAAACACACACAAACAAAATGAAAACTCCAGGTTTATGGGGTTTTTTTTTTTTACATTCAGTGGAAATGACAAAGATTGATACTTTGGTATATTGTGAGAATATTGGTTTTCTTCCTTTTTTTTTGTATTTTTGTACTATTGAATAAAATGTGTATCTCACCTGTTTCACAGCACGAACAGAGGAGATGTGGTCACCCTGAGCACACCACTTATCAGTGCAATTGTACTCCCCCCGGTCAGACATGTCCCACAGGTACTGACGCCCTCGGAAGTTCTCATGTTCGTATCCCACCCATCTACATATGAACACATGCCACAGTTAAAATGCAAAAATAGCTGAGTGGGCTTGAATTGGCAAAATGTCATTACATGGAGAAAAAATATTTAATTTAGCTTAGAATCTTTTCAAAATATCGACTCAATCAAAATGTGAAGTAATCATTAATGTTAGATTTAATAAGGGTCAAACAAGGTCTTGTGATATAAAAGTGCCATGTACTCACGCTCCACTCTCCACCTGGACAGAGTTGCATCTGTCGGGAAAGTTTTTTTCACTCAATTTCTGACAGTCAGAGGTCAGGTCCAGTCGCCGACCTGCAAAGTTCCTCTGCTCGAAAAGGGTCACCTGAAAAACACAACTAATGTTAAAAAACCCCCACTTGAATATATACACATTCATTTAAGCATTTAAAAAGCACAACAGGATTTAAAAGAATTTTCGGAGCATATATGAAACTAGCTACTTTTTCAGCTAATTTTCCAAATGACTTTTCCTAAAAACACCACTTAAGCGGTATGAGAAGCGATAAAAAGAGTAAGACTGATATATTATTCATCAGCACCGAGTCACTATGCAGGAAAGTAAAAACTCTTACCCTCCCACTGGACCCGTAGAAGGCACGTTGGAGCACAGACCCCAGCTTGCTAGGGAAAAAAGTCCAATACTCTTAGCATATTTTCCAACAGAGAACACATATACAACAACAATCAATAAAAATATGCCATAATAGAAGCCAGTAGAAAACATAGCTTTTTGAACTGTCAACATTTAAATTAAAGTTACATTTGATTTCTTCCATGACAATGTATGCGTGAAACAAATCAGTTTGCCAATTAAAGCATAACAGTATGTTGTTTCAGGGCTTCCCTAACCGTACGGATGTGATCTGAACTACATATGTATTCTCTTCCACAAAACTGCAATGAGTCACGGATGTTGGTCTGACTTTCATATTTTCTGCAATGATTAATACAGCCCTCTTGAGAGGTGCAGATCTGGTTGAAACTCAGTCCACAAAATTTGGTGTTGCTCTTGTTTCCAAATGCACCGCAAACATACCTGGTTTGTTGGGCTAGTCCGGGGACCTTAGTGAAGATGTTCATGTCAGCTCGTGGTGGCCACTAAGATGGTCCTTAAATACAGCAGGTACATAGAAACAGGGAGTGCTAGAATGCTCATACTCTTTCTGCTGCTCTCTCTGTAGTCGGTCTGTGTATTGATATGCTAAACACATACAGTTTGCTATGTTTTGTCAAAGCCTTCAGCTATATGTGCATACAGAAACTCAAATGCACACATACAGTACAAAAGCTTAGACATGCAAATCAGTAGCCCATGCAAGACAACAACACGCATGTTCCCATGATAAACCAACATACATTGAACAAATTATGCTTCATACACACATACATACACATACAGTTAAAGAGTGCAGAGCCAACACTTTCTAAAACAATTCAGCATTCTTTTCACAGTTCATTTACAATGCATTTTGCATGTTGTAACTATTCGTGTTTAAACTGGAGCAGCTTATGCTGAAAAAAATCAAAACAATTTTCACTCAAAAATAATGACATTTTGAAGTAGAAAGACTGAAATCGTATTTTCATGTAAAATGTACTCCAATAATCTTTGTCAGATGTTGTAAAAAATATTTTAGTCTAGAAAATTGTTTTAATGCATAAAGCAATGACACAATTACAGCCACATTGTGGTAACCAATCATGATTTAATATAATATTGGTCTATATTGATTATCCAGTCAGAATTGGATTCATATTTAAGTAAGGGACAATATTTTATATATTGAAATATTATTTTATATAATTTGTTTATTATATTTTGCATTATAAAAGAACATTATACATTATTACTAATATGTAATGCTCATTTATTCAATAGAAAATGAATCAGATATTGCCTTTTTTTAATATATATATATAGTCCATTGGTTCAGAATTTGATTCAGAAATGCTGCTGATTAAAGTCAACCTTTTTTCATAGCATAAACATTTCTCCTTTGGGGGCCAAAATGCAAATGTATCACCCACACCAACATCAACTTGCTTACAGAGTCAAATGTTCAATTCTATAAAACATGTTAGGAGCAGCACTTTTCCCCTCTCAGCCCATTGAATTTGAATAGTGGGTATTTGGGCCTGTGTGTGGCTCCTGAATGGAGCTTGGATCTACTAGATGCTTCGCTACTGTTTTGTGCGTGCGGGCGCACAGGCACTGGGCAGCTTTGTGAGGGTGAATGAAGTTCAGAAGCTTAGGTAACCTTCTGGCACTTTGGAGTGGATTCCAGTCAGGACAAATGTGAGGCCTGGAGCAGGTATACGTGTATATGTGCTTGAGTGTGAATCTAGATGGAGGGAGAGGGTGAGAGGAGGGAGAGGTAGAGAGACAGGGCAAAGCTGCTGGTTCCTGTGAAGAGAAGGGAGCTTTTTAATCATCTTCTCATCCTCTCTCCTTCAGATAGAAAGTCACATCTCCTCTTTTCAGGATAAATACTTTTGAGATGTCTTTCATATTGGCAGCTCTTGACAAACTGACTTATTTTTTGTCTCTGATAGCCTTTTGTATCAGTTTGTATTATAGCTGGCTGAAATGAGTTAATTCATCTGATCTGATCTGGGTTTGGAATTCTTTTTGACATTTTAGGCGATTGCACGTGGATTGTGACAGCTTTTTAGTTTGGGATGCATCATTGATATGCCTCAGCTCCTGAACTGACCACTCAGTGAGTATGTTTTCTTATTTTTGAAATGAGGATAACTGCTGTGAAGTTTCTCCATATATACCTATTTAAGAATAACTGCAAGATGTGCTTCGAAGATGTGCCTGTAAGTAAAATGAGTCTGTTTTATATGTCCAGTTGTTACTGGTAAAAAACAAACTCCTATGAGAATAAGAGGATGCCACAACACTGTGTGCTGAGGATATGCCACATTCTGCTACTGGCACCCTGCATTTTTTCCAGCGAAGACTTTGACTGGACCAAGAACGAAAAGGGGTCATTTCAGTATGGAACATTTCCTTCAGGTAAAGCATTACTCATAAAAGCAATTAACACTTGCAAATAGATGCGTGTTCTCTTTAAGCTCAAATATTAAATTACATTTTAAGTATGCATCTGGTTGAAAAAAAAAAGTATTTTATATTGTTTGCAGCACAGTAAAAATAAAGTGATTAAAGCAGGTAAATAAGATTGTAAACTATAATCCTGTCTTGAAATAAAAAAAAATACAATAAAAAAAATGTTTTATATAAAATTACATATATCATTTTATTGAAATCATTCATTTTCAGGATTCTATAGGATAGAATTCTATTCTATATTCTATATCCTATAAATTAATGCATATTGCATATACAAAAAAAAAATATATATATATATATATATATATATATTATAAATTATTAATTAATTACCTACATGATGTGCATATTAATTAATCGCAATTTAATCGGACATCAATTTCGGCTGAGAAATGACCCCCAAAAGATTATTGAAAGTCATTATTGTGTTAAATGAGAAAAGCATCAAATAAACATTACAAAAAGTAGTTTTAGTAAGAAATATTTTATTTTATACACAAACTTTTAGGCTACAACGGCCATGTTTTTTTTTTTTCTTCAGAAGCTGCATCTGAATTGGTATTTAGATATATTTACAGACCAAAACAGTTTGGTTACCAACATTCTTAAAAATATCTTCTTTTATGTTCCACAAAAGAAAGTAAGTCATACAGGTTTGAAACTACACAAGGGTGAGTAAATGGAAATAAACAGAATTTTCATTTTTGTGTAAACTATCCCCAAAATATATATATTTTTAAAATAAAATGATCCTCTAAATAAGAAACTAAAACTGTCAGTAGGTAGCGTGCGGTAAATGTCTAAATGAGGAGATTATTGAGTCGTTCATTCATCTGATTCGTTCAAACGGCTGATTCATTCAGGGATGAAGTGAATGTCTCTCTTTATGAATGGGGCATATGCGACTGCTGGCCTGTTGCTGATGTCCTCAGGCTAGTGTGATGTATGGCTCTGCGGTTCTGCAGTTGGTTATTATTGGAGAGATTCGCTCAAAATGTGGATGCTTTAGAAATAAAACACCGCTGTGTGTTGCTCGGAGACGCACAGCAAAGTTCTGGTTGTACAGGTAATATTTTCATTGGAAAAATGTAGCAAAAACGGACAATATCGTGTCTGAGATGACACAATATTAACCTCCTACTTACTGTTTAAACAGCACTTGTGTGATATCGCGCGTGTTACTTACTATAGCCTATCGTATGATATAAATATGAGACAAAAACGTATAAACGCGCATCTTAAATTTTAGGGGCATTCTAACTGCATTCTATAGGCTCCATCACACAGTGAGTTGTCCAATTACCAATCAATCAACTATGAAATAAATGTAAAATGACATATGTAGGTCTGGGGCGGGTAATTTTCTCCATAACTAATTAATTAAATATACGCATTAAATTGACAGCCCTAATATACAGTATATCATTTTTGATATAAATAGCAAAGTGTGTATGCATACATTTTCAGGATTCTCTTGGGGTGCTGGCAGTTCAGCATACCAAACAGAGGGAGCATGGGATAAAGATGGAAAAGGAAAGAGCATCTGGGATGTGTTCTCCCACAAGAGAGGGAAAACAGACCGGAATGACACCGGTGACTCATCCTGTGATGGCTATTATAAAATCAAGGTGCTATGATTAACTTTATCAGAAATGCACAATGACGTACAGTATGTAGACACTTTGGTTCTAAGAGTTGTTTAATGTATGTTTTAGGATGATATCTCACTGATGAAAGACATGAAGCTGAACCACTATCTCTTTTCCATCTCCTGGCCAAGGATTCTGCCCAGTGGCATTAAAAGTAATTAAAATGAATGCTAAAATGAAGAAAGAAAAAAATTTTCTTGTAATATTTTACAAGAGTCATAACCAAACATTTTTCTGATTGTCTTTTAGCTAAATACATCAATGAGAAAGGGATAGAGCACTATGATAACATGATTAATATGCTTCTGGAGAACAGAATCACACCGATTGTGACGCTCTACCACTGGGACTTACCTCAGGTAAAACAAAATCCTCACTGAGGAAGACAATAGCTGAAATTGCATACTGTCTAGTTTGAAACGTACTTTACAATTATTAAAAAGTATCTTCTATATAGTATGAATATGGGTAATATGAATGAAACTTTGGATGTCCTACATGTTGTCACTGTCACGTGACCTACCAGCGTCACTTCTCTGCCATTCACAAATCCTCTCCCGTGGCCTTATGGGATAGTAAAGTGTCCATTGGATGTACACTTTAGAATCTCGCTAGCAAGTAGCAAGTCATCTGGGTACTTTTTGCTGTACTGTTTTATGAATACTGTGAATTCATTTCATATATACTACTCGTCTCCCAAATACTCGTTATCCACCTACAGTTCATAGTACATGTAGTATTCGGACACAGGGAATGACTCTGAATTCTCTTTCTAAAAAATATTTACAATTAGTATATCAGAGAGTACACATCTTAAGAGTATATATACTTCAATTTGATTTAATTTTCAAAATACCTGTACAGGTTCTGGAGGAGAAATATGGAGGTTGGCAAAATGAAAGTATGATCAACTTCTTCAACGATTTTGCCAACCTGTGCTTTGAGAGATTTGGCAATCGAGTCAAATACTGGATCACCTTCAACAATCCTTGGGTAAGAACTGTAAAAATAGTGTCCACTATTATAATTCCAACTCATTAAAAATGTAATCATAATTAATTTGTCATGCAAATTTCAAGTAACTTGGCCTTTCTCTAAAATTAAACAATATTAGTGAGTAAGTAATATCAAGTTGTTGTTGTTTTTTTAAATAAAATAAAAGCTAGCAACAATTCTTGTCAGGGACACTTTGACTTCTATGAGAAAAAACTGTTTATTATCTGGTTCAAATTCCATTCTTACACTGGCAGTAAAGATTCCTCCCATGTTTCTAGTCTGTTGCAGTAGAGGGTTATGAGACTGGAGAACATGCTCCTGGTCTGAAGATGAGGGGTACTGGTGCCTATAATGCTGCCCACAACATCATTAAGGTGATCAAAATCCACCGCAGTCCACTGTAGTCTAATAACCCTAACAAATGACAAGTTATCAATGCAATCCACTTTGCTGTAGTATCCACATTATTTTAACATAAAAGTGGGTGCGGCTATTTGTAACTTCCGGTATCGGTTCCAGTAATTTTAGCTGTACAAAAGCAGCTATTATGCTGCTTGATGTTGCAATTTGGTTATCATAATCATAAACACAGCGTTTTGTAGCACAAATAGTTTTACCGTTAACTGCGCTTTGTTATTCTTCTAGTTATCTACCTATAGTGGCTTACGCATTTACAGAAAATAGCTTACTTAACTGCAAAATAAGGTGGATACTCTTAAACCAGAAAATGCGTTTGGACAGCAGAGACAAAAATGCTAAATATAAATGATAAAACACAAATGATCATATAAGCATGCATGTAGCATGCATGTGCAAGCTATTCCAAAAAGACTTATCAACTATTAAAACCACTGTTCTTTTGATACAAATTCAAATGTAGTGAACTAAAGCTCACTTTTACCATTTGCTGCACTGACAGGCTCATGCTAAGGTCTGGCACACATACGACGCCCAATGGCGAAACAAGCAGAAAGGTAGACAAATTTCAGATTCTGAATTCAGCTTATAACCTGTCAAGGCAAAGGTCCAAACTAGTATAAGTGTTTCTGCCATTTCAGGTATGGTGGGCATCTCCCTGTCAGCAGACTGGGGAGAACCAGTGGATGTCACCAATCAGCAAGATATAGAAGCCGCTGAAAGATATGTTCAGTTCTACTTGGGATGGTTTGCCACGCCACTCTTTAATGGAGACTATCCTCAAATAATGAAAGACTACATAGGTAAGTGACAAACCGCAAATAAATAGAAAAACAAAAACGTATCTGCTTTTTTAGTAGGGGCTGGTGTTAATTTACATATGTACGTATTTCATCAGCATTTTCTGTTTTATTTCTGCAGGTAGGAAGAGTGCCCAGCAGGGCCTGAGTAGCTCTCGCCTGCCTACTTTCAGCCCTCACGAGAAAAGTTACATCAGAGGCACTTGTGACTTCCTTGGCATCAGCCACTTCACCACACGCTACATCACACAAAAGAACTTTCCCTCCAACCGTGGAAACAGCTACTTCACTGACCGTGACCTGGCTGAGCTGGTGGACCCACAGTGGCCTGACCCTGGATCAGAGTGGCTCTATGCTGTGCCATGGGGCTTCAGCCGTCTGCTCAGCTTTGTAAAGGTACATCTCTGTAAACATCTTTGCAACAACTACTTCCAGACGGTAGCCAGTAGTCTGACTAGCACATTGGTGGCTTATATATCTTTTTGTATTCTTAGACACGGTATGGAGACCCCATGATTTACGTGACAGGAAATGGAGTATCGGAGAAGATGATGTGCACAGAACTGTGTGATGAATGGAGAATGCAGTACTTCAGGGATTACATAAATGAAATGTTTAAAGGTCAGAATCAATAGAGGAATCAATGCCTTGCCTTCTATAGTTAAATACTCTTAGACCAGTGGAGCTCAACAAAGGGGCCAGGGCCAGTATGACTTTGTATTAAAAATGATTTAATTAGTCTCTCCCCTCCCATTGTTATCTACTGTTCTATCAAGATAAAGCCAAAATAATCACATACATATAACTATATATATATATATATATATATATATGCACACACAAATGTAATTATATTAACAAATAATTCAAACTAAAATACAAAAACTATTGTTCCTATAGTTCATATTTGTATAAAGGGCGAGAATAGCTTGAAATTCTGACTTTTTTTCACAGAATTGCATGTTTATATCTCGCCATTCTGACTTTATAATACGCAATTGAGAGATATAAAGGCAGAATTGCATGATATAAAGTCGCAATTGCGTGTTACAAAGTCAGAATTGAATTGTGAGATATAAACTATTGTGGGGTAAAAAAAAAAGAAAGGAAAAAAATAAGCAATTGCGACTATTTCACGCAATTCTGAGTAATAAAGTCAGAATTGTGAGATGTAAACTCGCAATTGTGAGATAAAAAGTCGCAATTATCTTTTAAAATGTTTTATTCTATATGGCGGAAACAAGCTTCCATATAGGCTATAGCAGCCTGTCCTATTTAAGTAGCCTAATTAAATTAATATAAAGGGGCGATTTGCCCACTAATGGCTTAAATGAACAACTAGTCGACTAGGGGAAAAAAATAGTCGGAGGCCTTATTCCACATATCTTGGAAGTTCGAGCCAGCAGGCCACTGGGTTGAGCGCGCGACCCTGCGGAATGAGCGAGCAGAGCGGAATATTCAGAAATGCGCTCTCTGCTCACATGCTCTGATCGGAACAAACCCGAACACTGTCTGCTGAACTTGTGCAGAAACATCAAAATAGACATAACCAGCTTTTTAAAATTGTTTTTAAAACTAAACATTTAGACTATTTTAGCACAAATTATGAGCTTATTGGCGATTTTTTTATTATAGGCCTAATTATTGACAAAACATTTTTGAAGAAAAGTTTTGGGTGGGCCTGTTGAAAAGTGGGTGGGCCTAGGCCCGTCAGGCCCACCCATAACGCCGTGCCTGAACCATTGTCTTAAACTAGATTTAATAAAATGACCCATTCAGAACATGCAAATCTAAATTTACAGAAACTTGATTACTGATTGACCATGTCACTGCTTTAGGTCTCTAAAAATTCGAAATGCTTTCAAACATTTCTAGAGATTCAAATCATATTGCTCTTCATACACTGATAAATAAAACCCATTCAACCAGTGATAGGAACCTTTTTGTTTTTTACTTCTATTTCATTCAGCGGTTAAAGATGGAGTTAATGTGAAAGGCTACACAGCTTGGTCGCTGCTTGACAAGTTTGAGTGGGATGAGGGCTACTCTGAAAGATTTGGCCTGTACTATGTGGATTTTGGGAGCAAAAATAAACCACGCTACCCAAAAGCATCAGTTCAGTACTACAAGCGCATCATCAGCTCGAATGGTTTCCCCAATCAGAGAGAGGTATGATGACTTTAGCAATATAATATAATGTTAGTTCATCTTTTGAGTCAATGAGAGCATTTTTTGTGCAATCTGTGTGATGAACTTTATATTATGTCTCAGTTCACATCTTATGCAGTTTTTAAGTTGGATCATGTTTCCCACAGATTGAAAGCTGGAAAAGAAAGGCACTGGAAACATGCACCTCAAGTAACCAGCTCCTTGCGGCAGGTTAGTGTAACTGTTGCTGACTTCACTCCCCACAGGGCAGCACAACCGGCAGTGATCTAGCTGGGGCAAATAAAAGAAAATTCTGTCTCAAATTATATTTTCTATTTGTAACCAAGCACATTATACAGAGAAAGAAAATTATAGCGTAACTTTCTAACAGGAATTTTCTTTTGTTTGCCCTTCCAGCTAGAAGAAAATCCAAGGAAAATAAGGAACATGCAGATATGCCAAAGGTTTGGCCTGTGCATGATGAAGTTTAGGTACAGGGCCGAAATATTGCTATTTTTGGAGGTTGGCATGTTTCACATGTTCTCTGGCCAGTGCTAGTGTTGCATATTCTGCATATTTATGACTTACCTGTGTGTGTTTTTTTTACAGATCCACTGATCAGCCACATGGAGATGGTCACGGAGATTGTCGTCCCCACTGTGTGCACTCTCTGCATTCTCCTCAGTGCAGTTTTTCTCATGTTTTTGCTGAGAACACGGATATTAAACTGACTGCCTCACATTTACGACTATATTTTTTCACATTGCATGTGTCCCTCCCTGCAGCATTTCTATTTTTTTATTGATTATTGAATAATTATGATATGCAGAGACTCGTTTACATGTACCTTGAAATAAAATGGTCCACAAATGCACTTCTGTGTTCATGAACCATCCGAACATCTCTCAACAAATTACCAAGAGGATAAGTTGAGGTTTGAGTGTTGAAGTAAGGTGAGAAAGAGTTTCTGAAACTTTTTGAAAGCAATTTTGTATCTCTTTTGTATGTGAAAAACAACCAATAAATACGATTAGCACTATAATAAATAAATGTGTCTATAAAACTTCAAAATACTAAAATTCAGTGATTTAACCAACCACCTACTGAAGCATACATTGCAGTGTAAGATCCACATCCATTCAATAAAGTTTGAAACCCTGAATTATAGGCTATATCTTTTTTGATGTGTCTGTGTCTACATCGGTAATCTCTCGCAAAAACAACTATTATGCGAATTCAAGTTGTTTTAAGTTTTTGGGGATATGGTTTGATGAGGGAATAACATGGGATGTACATATCCAGAAAGTAATTGAAAAATGTAAGGTGTTAAATGTTATGAGGTGTTTGGTGGGAAGTGATTGGGGAGCTGACAGAACAGCACTGAAGGCAATTTATTGTGGATTAATTAGATCAGTATTAGATTATGGATGTGTGGTGTATGGATCGGCATCAAGCACATCTCTTAAAAAACTAGATACCATTCAGTTTCAGGCTTTGAGATTATGTACAGGGGCTTTTAAAACAACACCAACGGCAGCACTGCAGGTGGAAATGGGAGAAATGCCACTCGAGTTGAGACGAATACAGCTATCTCTGAATTATTGGGTTAATATAAAGGGCCATAATGAAGATCACCCAGCACAAATCACTTTAAAATCTTGTTGGGAAAAGGAGAAGAGGGAGACAAAAAGCTTTGGGTGGACAGTTATACAAAAAGCAACAGAGTTAAAATTAACGGAATTAAAAATCAGTCCTACAGTACCATTACCAATAGTACCACCTTGGATATTACCAGAAGTAAAAGTAGATCTAGTATTATTAGGAAAGAAGAACAAAGACATGGGGTTAATTTTTGACTCGTATGCTGTACAGGAATATATTGATAATTATTATAGTTATATTCAGATTTATACAGATGCATCAAAGAGTTTAGATAATAGGGTAGGAGTAGCTTTTTTTGTTCCAGAGTTTCATATTTCAACAGCGAAGAGGATAAGTGATAATGTATCAGTATACACAGGAGAAATGTTAGCAGTTCAGTGGATAGAGGAAGTAAGACCATTGAGAACTATTATTTGTTCAGATTCTGCATCATCATTAGTCAGTTTACAGAGCAGTCATTCAGATAGTAGAGCCGATATATTGATAGAAATTCATCAAGCATTATATAGAATTCAAATGATGGGTATTACAGTTATATTTGTGTGGGTACCAGCACATATTGGAATTAAAGGAAACGAAAAGGCAGATAAGGCTGCAAAGGAGGCCACAAAAAGAGAAGACATTGATGTAGAAGTTAACATCAGTAAGATGGAAATGAAGAGCATTATTAAACAGAGTTTGAAGAAAAGGTGGCAAAAGCAATGGGAAGAGGAGAGAAAAGGACGATGGTTTTACAAAATTCAGAGGAAAGTGGGGGAAATGAGATGTACAGGAAGGAAAAGGAGAGATGAGACAATTATATCTAGACTTAGGTTTGGACATACAGGACTAAATAGCACTTTATTTAAAATAGGTAAACATAACACCGGCAGATGTGAATACTGTGAACAACAAGAGACAATAGAACATGTCATGATAGACTGTAAAAAATATGAGGGAAAAAGGAGGGAAATGATCCAAAATTTGAAAAAGGAAAGAGTACGGTATGATTTAGTAGAAATTCTTAGGAAAAATTCTAAAGAAAAGTGTTATGGAATTGTTTTTCATTATTTTAGAATAATTAATATGATTGAGAGGATTTAAATTATTATTATTTTTTTATTTCTTTTATTTAATTTTTTTATATATAAGTAATAGTCATTCAGTACCACACTCCATACCAGTAGGTGGTAGTAATGCACCATTTCATTGTGTGCCAACCGCCATAAAACTCGAATAGAAGAAGAAGAAGAAGAAGACTTGTGAACATCAGACTTGTCAGCGCTCCGAGCCGGTAGACGTCGCAGTTCTCATCAGTTATCAGAAATGTGATTGGCTGAGGCGGGGTCCGACCGGGAAGCCGCAGCAGAAACTTTGGTTCAACACTGACTGGATCGATATCCTCGTGCTGCGGTCGGTGTTGAAGTTTCGTCCTTTGACAGCACATATTCAGTAAGTTTGACGGACCGCACTGAAATTCAACTATTCACTGAAATTACAGTGACATCGGTTGGGCTTGATATCCAGTCATGGGCGAAACTAAGGACGTCGTGCCGTGCGTGTTGTTGAATCTGTATGGTGTCTGGCGCCAAATTGCTGGGACAGTAACAAAACAACTCTCTTCTACAACTTGTTCAATTCTACAACTAAACTATCATTGTGTCATGAGAATAACTCCCAATAACAGAATCGTGTGACATTGTTTTGTACTGTAACTTATGCACCTTTCATAAGTTTAAACCTTTTTACAGTCTATGGTTTAAACCCAGGATGTTTCTTATTTCGTTATGTATGAGCCATCGACAAAAACATTTTTTTGGTTGCTGTCGATCTAACGTTACTCTCACTGTGTTTTAAAGTCTTCTCAAACATACTGAAAAAATAAGGGTCTTTTCATCACTCCAATCATTGTTCAACATTTGTAAGTTTCAGTCAGATATAGATTAAACGGTGTGAACGTTTCTGCGACAGTACAGCTACATGATTTTTTAACGAGATAACTACTGGAAAAGTTTATGATTGACTTTCTGTTTGTATTGTAAACAACTCGCTGCAACATTCTAGCATGGCTTACTGATACAATATTGTGGTGACGTGAGAGGTTGTTTCTAACAACTGTAGATTAAAAATATTAACAAAGCTAAATAATAGACTGACCACATTTAGAATTAGTTTACCATTTTAGCAATACATTTACATTGTTTAATTAATAAATTAATAGCATTTTAATTGGAATGTAATGAAATTTGATATAATATTAGTATCTGACCATATTACCCCCAGAAAACCCAGACTTTTAGACAATGATACTTACTGTTTGTTTATTGTTCAGAAACACAGAAAAGAGAAAAAAACAGCTGATGTATCTGATCTTAATTTATGTGAACATTACTGAAGGTAAAAGGAAGTTCTATTTATGTTCTAGAATTGATCATTCTCCTATCTCTCTACAGGATCCTGTGCACCATGATTGATCCATTAGAAAATGGCCTGTATGACATCCCAGATTATGAGCACATAGAGGACGAGACTTTCCCTCCTTTTCCTCCTCCGTCATCGCCTGGTCGGCGGGACCTTGGGGAGGATGCTTTTGGCAATGGAGAGGGTCTGTTAGGCTGTTTCTTATCGACTTGCTGCTTTGGTGATGTGAGCTGGTCAAATTCCCCATGCTGCTTTCCCATGCTGCATAATTCCTGACAGTAGTTGTTCAATCCCTAACTACCTGTCAGCACCAGCCACTGGCAGGTCATCTGACCTCTCAGTGGCTGCTGGCAGTCTGCCTCGTTTCAGCAACATGATTTTTGGCAGGTTTTGTGTTGCGCTCCTTCCTCTCTTGCTCCAGCAAATTACATTAATTTATTATTGTACATCTGTTCATATGATTGTGTTCTTAAGAGGTTTTAAAAATGTTTTATCACAATTAAAGCAGTCAAATATATTTGATCCGACTGGTTGGTTACTAACGCTTACACTGGCCTCTCAGTCCAGCCAGACACTATAGCGCTCAAAGTTTGATGCGTGCCCTACCACTCTTGTTTCGAGGGAGTAAATATATATATTTTGTATTATTGTGAATCTTTTCTTATTGATCTGTTTTTAACATGATCGACATTTTGGGGAGGTTTATCCTAAAAAAATTGGTTTAAATGACTTTGATCCTGACTGGCCTCTCAGTCCAGCCAGCCGCTGCTGAGCTGATACAAGTTTAACGCATTCCTGTTTAACTCTCGCTGCAAGGGAAAACTTTGTTTTATTGTTATTAAAGTATCCTTAAGATGAATATATTCCTTAATATAATATTTTAGAGACGTTAATCCCCGATTAAAGTAGCCCAGCCACTGTTGAGCTGTGGGTTTAACTGTAACAGTAATTGTAATTTAATTGGGCTAAACCTTCCCCCCAAAAAAACGTTGATCACATGAATGAATAGATTCATACGAATATATACGTTTTTCCTTACAGCGAGAATGGTTGGAAACTAGTTTTTAGTGGCTGGCTGGACTGAAGCATCACTAACCCACCAGTCAGGGTCGTGGTCAGTTGACCAATTTAATCGGGATAGGCCTGCTTAAAATGTCGACGTATAAAATAATAGATTCACAAGAAATTATTCATAACAATAAAATCATGTATTTCGCTGCAGCGAGAGTGGTAGGGGACGTGATAATCTGGTAGCATAGCGAGTGGCCTGACTGAGCGTCCAGCAAAGCGTCAGTAACCCACCAGTCAAGATCACCGCCATTTGAATACTTTAATAGGGATAAACCTCCATAAAACTTCAATCATACAAATGAATAGATTCATAAGATTATATTCACAATAAAACAATAATGTATTTCCCCTGCAGAGAGAGTGGTAGGAAACAACAGTGGCTGGCTGGTATGAGCGGCCACCAACACATTAGTAACCTGAATTACAGTCATTTGACTGCTTTAATTCGACAAAACCCTCCTAAAACATGGATCATGTAAAAGAAAAGATCCATTAGAATAGAATTACACTAATAAATTAATGTATTTTCTTGCAGCGAGTGGTAGGGGACACATTTTACTTGGAGCACCATAGTGGCTGGCAGGACTGAGAGGCCAAGAGCAGCAGTAACCAAACAGTCGGACGTGAATAAAAATGATTAAATATATTCATTTTTTCAAAGTATTTTTTAAAACAATGTATAGAAAATTGTTTACATTTTTATAATGAATCTGTATTATTCATTCAGTAGTTGTCTTAAAGGCATTCTCCACCGTTTTTTCATATTAAACTGTTATTCCCTTAACTAAGACAAGTTGATACATACCTCTCTCGTCTCAGTGCGTGCACTCAATCGCGCGGGACACTTTGATAGCACAGTTCATTCAATACGGGCCAAGCAGAGAAGCGAGTAAACACCTCCACGTTTTCCCTATTTAAATACAGTTACACGAGTATGTAACTCGACCAAGAATGGTGACACAAAATAAAACGTTGCGCTTTTCTAAGCGTGTAAAGTGGATAACTATAATGTATGGCGGAATACCATGGCAAGTGCTTAGGAGCACTTTGACTCGGCGCAGTAATATCATCACTCGTGAAAAATCCTCTCCCTCTCCGGAGTGATGATATTACTGCGCCGAGTCCATAGATATATATGCGCCGAGTCAAAGTGCTCCCAAGCACTTGCTGTGGTATTCCGCCATACATTATAGTTATCCACTTTACACGCTTAGAAAAGCGCAACGTTTTATTTTGTGTCACCATTCTTGGTCGAGTTACATACTCGTGTAACTGTATTTAAATAGGGAAAACGTGGAGGTGTTTGCTCGCTTCTCTGCTTGGCACGTATTGAATGAACTGTGCTATCAAAGTGTCTCGCGCGCCAGAGCGATTGAGTGCACGCACTGAGACGAGAGAGGTATGTATCAACTCGTCTTAGTTAAGGGAATAACATAGTTTAATATGAAAAAAACGGTGGAGTATCCCTTTAACTGAGGAGGCAGGTCATGTGATCTGTAGGACCTCTTGCCAGCCAGCTGAAGATTGAACCCCCACTCGATATTCATACTCTACATAGTAAAAATGTTTTGAGTTTAATCTGTAAATAAATCCCATTTTGTTGTGTGTTCAGGTGAGGAGGAAGGAGAAGTGTCAAAACTAGCAGAAGTGCCAGTGGCAAAAAGACGAACGGTGAAGAGGCCTCGGCCGAAACTGGATGCTAACAGGTACTGCACCAGATGGCAGTTAATAATAATGATAATTATTTGTTTATTTTAGCAGACAGAGTATGACTGACTTTCTCCAGTGTTTACAGTTCTTCTCTTTCCCTTTCTTCTTTCTTTTAGGTTGATTTCTGAAAAGGGTCTCCCAGCTCTGCGTACTTTATATGATGATGTAAAGTTCAAAGGCAAAGGACACGAGGTAATGGCTAATCTTTCTCTTCGACTTATATATTCTGCTGAACTCTTTGTTATATGATTACAGATGCTGTTGTTCTAGGAATGTTTTTGTGTTTATAAATGAATCAGAGTGATGTGTGAATACAGTTATCAGTGCTCACCCCTCTTCATTCATTTTTGATTCAGGCAGAGAATCTGAAACTCCTCATGCAGAAAATAGAGAACTGGGCCCATCGCCTATATCCTAAAATGCAGTTTGAAGAGTTCATTGATAAAGTAGAGAGTCTGGGAGGCAAAAAAGAAGTTCAGGTAAGACTTCTGGCTTTACTATGCAAATGAAAAGAAAATAATTTTATCTGAAGGAAAAATCAAGATCACCTAGGAACTGTTCACAAAGGATGTGTTCTTTCCATCTGTGCTTTTTTTTAATTGAATTTTATTTTTATTATCTGTGCTTTTAAAAGTTTATTATCCATTTAAAAGTTATATTGTTGGCATTATGCCTTTACGACAGGACAGTAGAAGCTGTAACAGGAAGTGATAGGATAGGAGAGAGGGAAGTGGAATTGGGAAAAGACCATGAGTCGGGACTAAAAGGGACAGTTCACTTTGAAATGAATTTTTGGTATGTTTTAGCTTACCTCAAGGGCATCCAAGATGTTGGTGTCTTTGTTTCCGCAGAAGTTTAAATTTTGATATTTTTAGGTCAAACCGTTCTTGTCTGTCAGTCATATAAAGCAGATTTTCTCACACAAACCGCTCGTTTCGTGTCTTAGGCCATCAATGTGTACATTTACGAGTCATCAAATGTTTAATTTGGACTTCTCTGTGCATGCTCTTTGAGGTGGTGACCATAGACCTGCATTATATGACTGACAGACAAGAATGATTTGACCTAAAAATATCAAAATTAAAACTACTAGTATGGAAACAAAGACACCTACATCTTGGATGCCCTTGAGGTAAGCTAAAACATATCAAAAATTAATTTCAAAGTGAACTATCCCTTTAAACTCGGCTGCCTGAAGCACTGTTACGCAAATCTATACTATCCGACCAATCTATGCACTTTCAACTGTTACTCTATGCACACATGCACTAAACAAGTCTTATTTTTTTTTTTCTGTTACACCATGACTGGCGCATTTTTTATATCGAATGTGTGATTTAGCACACATTCAAGTTACAAGTAATTTCTGTTCAGTTAGTGCAAGAACATCCTGTTGTGAACACCTCCTCAGACAATTAATCCAGGAAGAGTTAACCATTTAAAAACCATTAATATGTGATATTTTACATCCTTAATAGACGTTGATTGATTGCGTCCTTTGTTAATGCTGTTCTTTGTTTCTACTTTAGACATGTCTAAAACGAATTCGATTGGACATGCCAATAACACATGAGGACTACGTTGGTAATGATACTTTTCAAATCTTGGCTGTCTTACGCTACTATTGAAAAAAGTAGGTAAAACTGAAGTTTCACTGACTTCCTACTCCCCTCCAGAGGAGGCAGAGGTTCGAGTCCCAGAAGAGTCTGATCCAGCTGGAGACGGAGTTTTCCCTGAAGATCCGTTCGTCCATTCTACTCCTGCTCCAGCCTCTCTCACCGAGGAACAGCAGCGGCGCATAGAGCTCAACAAACGGCTCGCTCTGGAGAGGAGACTTGCGAAGCAGAAAGAGTTAGGTGTGTGGAGCCATTTGATATGATATGGCATGATGTCGAGTTATGATCAGAATGCAAGCATTTGCCTCTAGTCCTGGGAAAAACCTGGGTCCACTGTGATTACAATTATTAATTTTAAGATTCAGCTGTCTCATGTTTGTTTCGCATTTTTTGACCATTTATTTAAAGAATTTATTTTTTATTTTTCCACAGAATCCTCTCAGAACTCCATCCAGGGAGATGCAGATGAACCGTCCACCAGTTCTTCAGGACAGTACCCCATTCAAGAGAACCGGGAGATTTTCGATCAGAGCATCTCAAACCAAACTCCACTCAAAGAAAAGCCAGCTGTACTTCAGAATTCCCCTTTAAAGGATAACGAGGGTGCCAGGCCTGTTCCAAATGGCATAGTTGATGACGACGATAGCAATTGAACCAATCCTCCCTGTTTGTACAAAGAGGACTACAAATAAATTGAGGGTGTTTTCGGGAGTAGCAGCTAAATCAGTCGAGCTTTTTTACATTTTAACCTTATAAACTCTTCCCAGTCATATGCCAGACATTTTCTGCACCTCATTGGCATGTTTTGTAATGTCAACCCAGGGATCGATCACCACTAATGGTCTTTCACACACATTGATTTAGTTCAGCTTGCATTTTGTCGTATTATCTTTTATCCTCTGTGAGGATTTTGAAATATTTTGCCTGTATTCAAAACTTTTCTTTGGGAATCACATTCCCTTTTTGCAGATAATCTTAATTATCACCATTTCATTTATTGTTAGCTAAAGTTAATTAAAAAGTCCTAATATGTAAGCATGCAATAATGCAGGACTTAAGGGGGGAGGCGGGGATCAAGTCAGTTTGTCGTCACAAAAATGTTATTTTCAACAATGCTGGTCAATCTTCAGTGTTTCAGTACCAATTGTTTTGATTTTCTGAATAAATATGTTGATGTAGCACACCCTTTATGTATGATCTAATTAATGCAGTTCTATATTTTGAAGTGAGATTAAAGGCTGGAAAACATTACACAACTTTTAAAATCTAAACAAATCACTATAAATGATTAAAGAGAAAAACTGCTTTATTCACTACCAGACTTTGAAGTTGTTATGATGACCACAGCAAACTTGTTGTCAGGAGAGGCATGAGAAATGAAAACAATGTTTTCGAAAAGTCTGCACATCATACACTACATGATTTTCTGTGAGCTCTGTCAACTCGACTGACCAAAATCTGCAGACGGGCTCTGACTTTCGACTACTGGTGTCAACTCAAAATATGGGCAAACGTCATGTAGCGTATTCAAGCCTTTACTGGAGATGAGTGTCTCGCAATTTGATTCTGTAGCATCAAAGGAGAAAATAGAAATAGACCATGATTCATTACTGACATACAAAAATACATTTTATTTCTAAAAATATTTTAAATTTTTACATTATCAAAATAGAAAGCATTAATCTTGGAAGTCTATAAGCCTACTTCAAAAATATTGTAGGTTATTATTCTCATTTGCCTCAAACTGGTTTACAGATATGGCTAACAGGGACTTCAGGCAAAAAAAAAAAGAAAGAGCCCATGTAAATTGCATGCTATTTGTAATCTTATTCTAGATTAATAATTTTGAGAAATAATCTCCAATTATGAGGGTTCATAAATCCTGAGTAGCTATAACTCTTGTTTGATAGTTCACATCTGGACACTTCAATGGAACTTCATGGCAGGTGTAAATCTAGCAAATATAGCAAAACCATCCCTAAAGCTTTTTGTGTAGAGTATTGTGTCTAATCAATTTCAGTAACAGCAGTATAAAGCTAAGAAGATGGAGTACAAGTCTGTTCCTCTGTATTTCTGATTTGGCATAAAGACAGATCCAGCAGGGCAAGTTCACTGATCTCCTGTAACAGGACATAGAGGTTTGGTGTTCTGCTCTGTCTGAACTTCCTCTCTTCCCTGCTCAGTTTGGACTTCCTCCCCTTCTCTTCCTCTGCCTGGAGCGAGGCCTCTTCTGCCCAGCGCACCACTTCCTGAACCAGCTCAGACCGACCTCGACCAGCTGGCTGGGACTCAGGTTGCACGGCGCAATGAGGCTTGTTCCTGATAAGCTGCAGACACAAGCTGTCGGCATGGCAACGAGATGGTTCTACAGAGATACGAACCTGTGGAGGAAGACAGACACAAGATGATGAAGAAAAAAATGAGGTCAGAGGATGCAACAAGCAAATATCTATGACAGTCCAAATAAAGGTACCACAAAGAATGTGATTTTTTGTTGTTTGCTGGGAATTTACTTACTGTAATGTGGTCGAAGAGGTAAAAGGTATGAGTTCCAGTGCTGGTGCAGGTGCTGATCCTGTCAGGGTATCTCTGCAATGTCCCAGCCTTCCACTCGCATCTTCCACCTTCATCGACACTGACCACATGACCCTCTCGATCCTTAAGGTACACAGCTCCCTTCAAACCATACCTGTGTGAACAGGTTACATGATAAGTGTTACAGCAGCTTGACATAAAACATCATGTCCAACATTTAAGAGCTATTTTTGGTGTACACTACCATTCAAAAGTTGGGGTCAGTAAGATTTTTGAATACATTTATTCAGGATGCATTAAATGAATAAAAAATGAACACTTTTACATTGTTACAAAAGATTTCTATTTCAAATAAATGCTGTTCTTTTAAACCTTCTATTCAAAGAATCCTGAAAAAAATGTATCACAGTTTCCACAAAAATATTAAGCAGCACAACTGTTTTAAACATTGATAATAAAAGGAAACGTGTCTCGAGCATCAAATCATCATATTAGAGTGATTTCTGAAGGATCATGTGACACTGAAGACTGGAGTAATGATGCTAAAATTCAGCTTTGCATCACAGTCATGAATTACAATTAAAATATATTAAAATAGAAAACATTTACTTGAAATTGTAACAATACCATTGTGCTATTTTTGATCAAATGAATGCAACCTCGAAAGTAAGAAATTGATCGATGGAAAGAACTTAACAATTATAGTGACATGTTTTCTAACGAAATGAACCAATTAAAAGCCATTTGTGTGGTGTGGCTTTTGTGTTCATGGTTAAGTGCTAATTTGCATTCCCGCTGAAACAAGCGTTCTAGCGCAAATGTTGTAAATAGTGTTGCGCGCCATCTTATCAAATTCACATGATCAACCTCTCCTCCATTTTGCTTGGGAACTAATGTGGTCGGAACCAAAGTTTACAGGACAGCGTTCTCTGGAATCCTCAAGTGGAGGACTTCTACATTCCAATTGGTTGCCGCCGAACCGCGCCATAGCTCATTACCATAAAGTTGATCTGACTTCAACTCTCCTCAACGCCCAAACCATACAAGACGCACCGCGCCGGCTCACATTGAAAATGAATAGCTTCCGGCCACTTTGATGCTCTCGCCGGCGGTGGTGTGAACTCACAGTTAGAGACTTATTTTAAAAAGAAATTTTAAATAAAAATCTATCCATTCCAAACTTTAAATGGTAGTGTATAATTTTTTTGTTTAACATTTTGTCTACACCATGTTCAAAACAAAGAAATATTCCATAAGTGGGTCATTACTGTGGTACGAAGGCAAGAAAACCATTAGCTCGGACACCATAGATCACTGCATCAGCCACACAGCGCTCATCTGTGTTGGAGTCTTTATCTCTAAAGTAGAGGCACTGGAAGAGCTCTGTGGACTGCTTCTGTGCGTGCTGCGCTGCCTGTCACACAAACAGAGAGTTTGAGAAGAATTTCCCAGAAAATCATTACTATTTTACTGTTAAAATATTGACACAAAAGCTAATGGCCCCACTTACTCTGTTTTTATTGTTGATTTGTTGAGCCAGCTCCTCAAGTTCTTTGTTACTGGCCAAAGCTTTGCTTAGTGATCCTTCCTTTTCCAGCTGAACGGCAGCCATGAGCAGCCGGTGAACTAATACATCAGCATAGCGTCTGATTGGAGAGGTAAAGTGAGTGTATCGATCCAGTGCAAGACCTGAAAACAACATGAACAGCAAAACATGATTTATAATGGCTTCAACCTTTTAGTTCTAGCAAGCAAATATACCAAAATGTCACTAAGTCTATGTAGGTTTTAAATCATGGTATCATTTATTGCTATAAAAATGAAAACTCTGTTTAACATCTGAAATAATATTTATATCATAAATAATGAGAGAATGAAAAGCATTTACCATAGTGATAGTACTGTTCCTCAGGACAGGCTCCTGTAGAGAAGTAAAGGGCATTAGACATTGCCTGTGTGGCCATCATTTTCAATAACCTGTTCACCAGGGGGTCCTGAGGATCCACAGCTCGCTCCAGAGAATCAGCCAGAGCCCTGTTTGACCTAGTTTAAACAATGCAGACAGACACATGCATGTATTGATTTAATTATACTTACTTCTATTGGTACTATTTTCATTTTTATTTATATATATATAGTTTGGGGTCAGTATTATTGAAAGAAATTAACACTTTTATTCATCAAGGATGCATTAAATTGATCAAAAGTGACAGTAAAGATCCATAATGTTACAAAACATTTCTATTTTAAATAAATTATGTTCTTTTGAACTTTCTATTCATCAAAGAATCCTGGGGAAAAAATGATCACACTTTCCACAAACACTTTTAGCAGCACAACTGTTTTCAACATTGATAATAATAAGAAATGCTGTTATCATTGAGCAGCAAATCAGCATATAAGAATGATTTCTGAAGGATCATGTGACACTAGAGACTGAAAATGTAGCTTTAACATCATAGGAATAAATTACATTTTAAAATGTACTAAAATATGAAACAGGTGTTTAAATGGTGATAATATTTTACAATATTACTACTTTACTGTATTTTTCATCAAATAAATGTAGCCTTCATGAGCATAAGAGACTTCTTTCAAAAAAAATTTTTTTTTATTAACTTTACCTTGTATCAATACTGAAGCCACGGGCTTTGGCACTGTCGATTAGCTGATTGAAGAACTCCTGTTTGGGTGGTGGGTGATGACGCAGAAGAGCTTGATGTGGAAAGCCCTCCTGTATCTTGCGTGCCACCCAGTGGTTGGCATAGATCATGCACTCTGCCACAGTCTCATGAACCTCCAGAGGTTGTTTGGGCACAAGGGCTGTAATGTTCTTCTCCTCATCCAGCTGAGCCCTAACCTCCACCCCCTCCAACTCCAGGGCACCACCCTTATCTCTCTGTGCCCGGAGGTGCCTGGCTACCCTCGTCAGAGTCTCCAGGGCCAGCAAGAGCTCAGCCAGTTTCTGGTCCCGCTGCGAACTCTTAAGCTGGCCTAGCTCAGGCACCTCGACCTCCTCGCCGTTCAGCAGGCTCTGGGCCAGCTCATAGTAAAGCTGATAGGAGGAGCGGATAAGAGTGCGACCGTACCAAACCGTACACAGATTCAGAGACTCAGCATCCAGCTCCCACAGCACACTCATGGCATATCTGGAACAAATTACAGAGCGATTCCTTTGTTATTTCTCATTAAAGTCACAGAATACAGACAGAAAATCCACAGATTCCAGCTGCATATTAGGGCCACTTTCAAAGTGTCAAATAGCAGGGAAAGGTTTGTGTGTTACTCACCGGTCCACTCCTCCAAGGAGGGAGCACAGGTCAGCACTCAACACCGCTGGCAGCATGTCATACCTCCGGTCAGCAAGGTAGTAAGTGGTTGCCCTGTGTTTAGAAAAGAGAGCTGATTCACATCTGGTGGGATTTTAAATCTGGGGACCTAAACCAAAAATCAACTTGCACTGCTGTTTAAAAGTTTAGGGTTTTGTTTTCAAGCCTCATATTGCTTATCAAAAATACAGTAAAAACAGTAAGTTTGTGAAATTATATTTCAATTTAAAATAGCTGGTTTCTATTTTAGTGTATTTTGAAATGTAATCTATTGCTGTGATGGCAAAGCTGAATTTTCAGCATCATTACTCCAGTCTTATAACATTTCTTATAATTATTTCTTATTATGCTGCTTATTTTTTTATGGAAACCATGATAAATATTTTTAAGAATTCTTCAATGAACAAAAAGATCAAAATGTATTTGCATTAGATTTTTTAAGAAAAACTTTACATTATTGTCTTTACAGTCATTTTTGATCAATTTAATGCATCCCTGCTGATTACAAAAAATATATATATATATTTTTTTTAAATCATACTGACCCCAGTGTACAGTGTGGTAGTGTATGCAACTTATTTAATTGTTTGGACTAGTTACCATTATATTATATATGCTATTAAAATATTTTAATATTTATAAATGTACATTCACCATAGACATTTGATAAACATATGAATCATTATTATTATTCATTAGTAAGTGTGACGAAAAACATGACATTAAACAATAATATACTCTATCAATTCATATATATTGATATAATATATATATTGAATAACTGGCCAATCTCCATACCTGGACCGTGCCTCTAGGTCTGTAAGAGAGCCCTCCTTGACAAAGTGAGTGACATCAGCAATGTGGACACCCAGCTCTAACCGTTTCCCCCCAGGCAAAGTCCGTACAGACAAGGTGTCATCCACGTCCTCACAGCCCTTAGGATCGATACTGAACACTAGATGTGTCTCTCTCAGGTCCCGTCGAGAGGACACCTCACTGCTGTCCATCTGCCACGGGTTCTCGTCTGTGTTAACCGGCATCTCTCGCAACTAAAGAGATTCAAAAACAACAATTTTTTGGAATACACCTTGTACCTTTCTGCAAGGTCTACTATTGGGGATTTACTCTTTTAATAGGTCAAAATCACAGTTTATACATTTGAAATGACTCAACTCAGATGCTGACACTATGACCTCACCTGTGCCTCTGAGAATGGTGGCACATGGATGCAGTTCTCCACCAGAATGGTCTGAATCTCAGTCTCCAGCTCACCTGCTTTCCCCAGAACCCTCACACAATGACCATTTGGGTAGACAGAAGTACTCTCCCACGAATCTAGACGCACAATTACTCTCTGGTCCTACACAGAGAAGCGTGCCAGATGAACAAGACTTGTAGTACCATTCAAAAGTTTGGGGTTAGTAAGGTTTTTAAATGTTTTTGAAAAAAGTCTCTTATGCTCACACCAAGGCTGCAAAAACTAAAACAGTAATATTGTGAAATACTATTACAATTTAAAATAACTGTTTTCTATTTTAGTATATTTTAAAATGTAATTTATTCCTGTGATGGCGATGCTGATGTTTCAGAATCATTACTCCAGTCTTCAGTGTCACAAAAACCAGTTGTGCTGCTTAATATTTTTGTGGAAACCGTGATACTTTTTTTTCAGGATTCTTTGATGAAAATAGTTCAAAAGTACAGCATTTTTGGGGGGGGGGGTGGGGGGCTTTTGTAGCATTATAATTATCTTTACTGTCACTTTTTTTTATCAATTTAATCCTTGCTAAATAAAAGTATTAATTTCTAGTTCTTCAGTCATTCATTTCTAATTTCAGGAGTGTACTAAGTCTAAATGTTTAAGTGTTAACAAAGGGTATCAATAACAATGATATAAACATTACTTCACACTTGCTGCAACAAGATCTGCTAATCTAGCCTTAATGCGTTTAAAATACTGAATTATATCTCCACCTGCAGTGCCTCAGCCTGCTGTGTGCTGATACGGATTTTAGAAATGCGGTAGTCCCATGGAATGACCAGAATCTTCTGTGAATTTCGGCTCTGGGACTGCACCTCCTCGAGAGGAGGAAATGTCACAACGTAGTCTCTCCAGTTCCTCTGCAGAATACCCACCACCCTGCCTACAGAAAAGAGAGGAGAGAGTTAAAAACAGCCACAACTTATACAGCTATCAATCTGCAGAGAGGTTCAAAAACCTACTGAAACTTTGGGAATCTTCTCATTTGAACAAGACATTTTCTTCAATAAAATTGAACTCAAACATACTAGAATTAGTGATTAAAAATTGTTATGATATCTACATCTGTGTAGTTCTTTGTCATAAATGCAGTTTACATAATATGATGTGGAAGCAATTCAACACGGTTTTCTCATCCACTGTCAAATTTGGGCTTATTTATTTATTGTATGAAATTCCTTTTACCTAAATGGCATGAGACTGTGTGACTTTTCATACTCTTGTTATGCTTCATACTTCAGTGCAATAAAATTACTGAAATTTGTTATAATATTCATTTTATAATAAATCCAAAAGCAAAACACGCTAAAAGAACTATAAAAGGGAGTGATGAATGGTCCTCTGCTTCTATCTACTGGTTATATTGGTAATTTCATGTCATTTTCAAGTGTGTTTGTTTTCCATCAGGTGACAGAAATCCTGGCACATTTTCCATGTTATCTCCATGAATGAAAATGAGATTCATTTTAATTTTACTGCACAAATGTAGAGTTTAAAAAAAATAAGTGTTGAAAACATTACGTGTGTTGAAAAACGTGTTTTTTTGTTTTAATATTTTACATATTGCCAATCTAGACAATTACAGTAATATAAAGTTTGTCTATATTAATGAATATTAGCTGGTTATTTGAAATTATTAGAAATTAATTCAGTATTCAGGGATTGACTTGATAGGTGTGTAAATGTACTTAGTAAAAATCTGTCTTTACAACTTTCAATTGTAATGGAGTAATATTTGACCACTAGTATCTGTACTTTCACTTAAATAATAAAGTTGTTTACTTTGTCCACCTCTGCTTATGTTTACCTGTGGGCAAGGGCTGACTCTGGGTGTCCTCCTGTGCCCGCTCCTCCCCCTGACCTCCTGTAAGCGCCATAGTCCTGCCCTTCCACTCATTACGGGGCAACAGCTCTATGACAACCACATCTCCATGCACCGCCCGGTTACGATGCTTCGCTCCACTGATCAGCACATCACTGTTTAGCTCTAACAACACAGGATCACACAGGCAGGGTCAAAGGTAAAAGATCATAAAACCATCAATATCAAAAAATGTCAGTAATCAGAAAAAATGTAACGACTGATTAAAGTATGTTGATAACAACCTGTATTTTTGCTGGCTGAACCCTCATAACGGACAAAGGCTTCATGCTGTGCTCGATGTTTGTTCACACTGAGGTTGCCCTTAAAGGGGAGAGAGCTGGTTGGAATGTATCCACCAAAAAAAAAAGAGATCTGAAAAACAGGAGTATCTCTGAGAGGCACTTACCTGGATGTACCTTCCAGATTTTATACCAGCCTCCAGCACCTCCGCAGGCAGGTGTTCAGAATACACCTTCTCTGCTGCCTCACTCTCTCGCTCTTGAAGGGTCTGAGCAATGGAGATGTACAGATCATGGGCGGCCTGCAGGTCCGGACAGAAACTTAACAGGTACTCCTACAATAGAGTTCACTGGTGTCACTAATGGACAAGTATGTTGATCTCATTTAATGCACTTAAAAAAAACATCATTTGATTCAAAAACATGGATTACTTTGTGAAGTGCAGAACAGTCTAAACCCAGCTCTTCACAATTTGTTACAAATTTAAAAATGTGTATGGTAAATGTATTATGATAAGCCAGTCATCATCACAAAATAAACCCTGACAGCTTGATCATACATAATCCTAGATAAACAAATGGACATTATTTTTTATTATGTGAAAAAAAGAGACTGCAATCATATGACAAAGGGAATTGGTTTCCTGGCTGAGACAAAAATCAGTTATAAAATGTAGTGGTCATTAAACATATCTGACTCCAGAAAGATACTTAAAATCCAACACTACAGATTTGACAGAAAATAAAATAAAAGAACATACCTGAGTTGAGATGACATACACTCCACTGTTTAAGGCACTATATTCTGAAATAGCGTCACTATCTTCTGTAATCATGACCACTGGCCGGAGTCCAGCCAGATGATTATAGTACCAAACTGCTGCATTGTACACTTTTCTGTAAGAATAAACATCATGTTCACAGATAAAAATGACTCTCCCATGAGTGATCAAATATTTTTCGGAAATATGCTTTCCTCTAATCCTGTGAAGTGCCTCGTGGAAGCAGCTTCACTTCTCAATAAGGTTTCATATAAAAATTGCACTGCATACTTCCATTGTTTATTGAAAATCAAAGATTATTGATTTTCATCACTAATCAATAATCATCTTTATTGATAAATGCCCATTCATTTATCAGTTCAAATCCACGTATAAACAAGTTATACTGTCTAAGTACAGGACGGAAGAATATCCTTAAATGTGGAAAGGGTATTAATTGACGATTCTTCTTTTCTTGTCAAGTATTGTCCTCACTTGTCTTGGAATCATCAGAATGCTTGTGAGTTAATTTTGTTGATTGTATGGACACTGGAAAAGTTCAACATAAATATATATCAATTGTTTTCTTGATTGTAGTAAATGTAACTCCTGCATAAATGTATAAAAGGGTGTAGGCGTCAATAAGCTTAAGCTTCTGCCTACTTTTGAGCATCATATTCACGTTTTTAATTATTTTCTTACTTATTCATTGCGCATGTATCCTTCTTTAGTTTGGCCTACTGTGCTGACCTTTGTTACTATATAGAATTTTGTGGATCCTAGATGCTCAAATAAAAGTAAATAAAGTAAAGTGCATGACACATTAGAGGAGAGGAGGTTGACACAAATTAATTCTCTATTTCTCTATAGTCTATTAATACTCTCAATACTCTTTTCTCAAAGTACACAATACATAAAAGAAAGTGTAATACTGGATAGATTAGTCAGGACTCACCTCGTTTGCCATTTGTCCTGAGACTCACCCTTGTCTCTGGGGCAGTAGGAATATTGCTGAAACTCATTTGCAAACATCACACAATCGTGGCGAGGGTCCTTCAGTAAAGCACGCAGTCTGTTATAGTGCCTGTACAAGACAAAACAAAATGCATCTATAAAAGCAACCTTTAAAAGTAGCCCTTTTAATTTTTCTGAAGGAATTTTCCTTTTTTTATTCACACACGACAAGTGAGTGAAAAATGCACAATGTGTGACAGTAAAATAAAGTAAAACCGATGACAAAAAATAATATTTGAGAGGTCGACCTGCGTCCACGAGTGTGCTGAACAGTCTGGTACGCTGTCTGGGTCAAAACGATCCCCTGCAGCTCCCTGAACTCCAGTATCTCCAGGAAATCCCGAACCACTCCCACATCCGGAACCACATAGTGGGTCACATCACTAGACAGAACCTTCCCAACTGTTGGACCACAAAATGGTCGATATCATATTGTAAACCATTATTGTATTATCTAAATTGTAAACACAATATGAAAATTCATCACACATAGAACAAATTAATTGCAGGATGAATTACCGAACAAAATTATTTCTCACCAAAACATCAGATAGTAAATTACTGATAATTATCAGTGTTGTAGGGTGAAGAAGTGTTGCAAGGTTGCAACTTTCACAAACAAGATTTGTGACGTTTGCTTAATTACTACAAATCAACTTTAGGTTCGTACTAAACTAGTATGGAATGGTAAAGATCTGACATTACTTCAGGGGGCGTGACGTACCACATTTAGTCACCAGTAATGAGAATTACTGTACCTACTAAGAAAGATTTTCAGAATCAATGCAAGTTAACATTTCCTAAAGCTATAGTTCAGTGTAGAAGGTAAAGACCTCGTATTTTAAGATTATTTCTTGTTAGTATACTGATGCGGTCACTATAAAAAAATGTAAAATAAAATTAACTACACATTTCATGTTGTTTTGTATTGTTTGGCTGTCTCATGCTCCTCTTCTTACCGTTGTGACAGTTCGCTTGACAGAAGGAGCTTCCACACGGCACCTGCTCCCTCACATAATGCTCCCGAACCACACGGACCTTTCTACCCTTTGAGCTGTTCAAATGTAAAACCTTCTCGGTTTTAATCATGACCGGATTATGCATAATAATCTACAGTTTGAGGTAAAGGTAGCGTTCAAAAACATCAGTATCCTCAGTTCTTCTTTGCTGTTTATCATCAAGATGAGTTTCTCATTTTCGAAATGAATCTGCGCCATCTACAGGACTGGAAGACGAGTAATCAATCAGTCACGGAGACACATTTATTTTAAATCATTTTTATTATTTATAATAATCTGAGAACCTACTGTCATGTTAATTCTCTATTACGTTTTTGTAAACTATAAAAATTCTTCAAATATTATAGACTCAGAAGAAAGGTATTAGACCATGTGTCAGAAAATTCTTCCCAGTGTCATAATGCTCATTTCACACCATCTTGCATATAGCAACATTCAGAAATGAAGTTTGGTTTTGACATGATACAATAACTTTTAGTCAAGAAAACAATCTTGTTGACTTTAAGAAGATCAAAGAACAATTAGAAAAAAACAGACATACAATCTAATGCTTTCCAATTTCAACAAAACTGCCCAGTATAGAAATTTTCTTCAGAGGGCGTATTACAGAAACCTTCTATCTTTTTTAAGATAAGATCTGTCAAGACAAGTTCATTTAGAATTTTTCCCAAATTCGTATTACAGAAGCAAATCTTAACTTGATTTAGGATTATATTTTACAAAATCTCATTTAGTTAAGAAATCTTAAATAAAATAGGTGTGTTTTTAAATAAGTGTTGCAAAAAGAGAAGGTTTGATAAGCTTGGTAGGAAAGGCAAAGCCTATCACTATATTTCATGGGAGGCTGTAATTATTTATCAGTGCTTTGTCGTCAAAGTGCAGCACATCATTTGGGTGTTCAAAAAGTATTTCCACCATCCAACATCACTGTTATTCATCTTGTATCATTAATAAATGTGACTCCATTCTCAGACAGGACTATTGTAATGGGATTTTTACAGTTGGCTTTCAAATAATTTTGAAGTAGGACACCAGGTTGTGCTAAAGTGAAGACAGTTTTTAGGGGTTTTTGTCGAGTTAGAATGCTTCTGTAATACCCTTTTCCTAACCGTAGTTAAGATAAGATTATGCACACGAAATATCATTCTGCAGCTTTTATCCTAAATGGGGTTCTAACTGATTTGTTACCAAACAGAGATCTTTCTGTAATATGCCCCCACATTTTGGTTCCTTAAAACATCCAAACAAAAGACACTACTTAAAATTAAAAACGTTTTCGATTGTTCAGTTATGTAAAATTGCCTTGAGATTGATTTGGCAAATCACTTTAAAAATTACAATCATTTCTTAATTATCCTTTTGTCTTCAAATGCGTGCAACATTAAATAAAGAGTCTTTGGCATCAGAGATTTGTTCTTATTGCGACCGTCCCTGCGGAAAGTTGGTCATCTGGATGCTGTCTCCTTGTAGTCCTGGATTGTAGTAACCAAGTCCATCAAACTTCAGGTCTAGTGGCTCACTGTTATCCAGTCGGAGAACTTTGAAACGATGAGACAAAACAATTTAAATAACATCATGGAGGAAAAACGATTCTGTAGTTCATAGAAGCCCTCACATGTATTCGAATGGATCTCAGTTCAAAGTACTGACAGGAAAGTTTTATATTACCTGGATCAGGTGATGTCTCTTCCACCAGTTTTCTGTGTGAAAAGTCTCTTCTATTCCTTCGATTCAGGATGATAAATGCTGCCAAGGCAATGATCCCCACTACAATCCCAACGGCTAGGACGATAGCCCATGCCTCCCCTTTCTTGTTTTCAGCATCTGTAATATCTGAGGATAAACCTGTAAAGACATATTACATGTTTATTATAACAAAGACACTAACTTCTTCATCCAAAGATGCTCTCATAAAAGACAAAATTATTGACCAAATTAGAGAACAGATTGGTATGTGGTTGCCTTTAACATGGAGTTCCTGGTTTAAAAATGTGAATGGAATCAACACCATCAGAGGGGTTAAAGTGGTTGCTGTCTAAAAGCTTTTTATAAGCTAATTATTGTACAACAGGCCAAACACACAACATCTAAATGTATATAATTATTCTGGATATGTAAATAGCCTATAACCTGTTCTTTTAAGTTTAGGATGCGGTTTGGACACAAATTGGTCAGAGTTACACGAAGAGATAATGGGATTTGTTCTTCAATGTCAGGTATTCTGTGTCACATTGGTCCACGCCTGACCTCGAAAGGAGCCCCTCCCAATATCTGTGGGGTGAACACCACTCTTATTGTGAATGAAGGTTTGGTGTCAGTAACTAGACACTCTGGCCCAGAGCAGAGGACAAACAAAGCCCGAAACCCAATCCAACACAGAGGAACAGCAAATATGGCTTTTATGACTGAATTGAGAAGCTGAGAATAAGGGTTAGCTTGAGGGATGAAATTAAAAGATTTGTGATCTTTGTGAACTACAGAAACAGAGAGAGAAATAATGCTTATAAAAGGTCAAAACACTATCAGTGTCCCAGATTTGTAGTGTGCTTTACAGTTTAACTAAAATATTTTTGCCATATACACTACTGTTCAACGGTTTTGGGTCAGAAGATGTTGTTGAATGAAGTCTCCTAAGGCTGCATTTATTTGATCCAAAATAAAAAAAGTAAAGTAAAAACAGAAATATTGTTAAATATTATTAGAATTTAAAATATTTGTTTCTCTATTTGAATATATTTTAAAATGTAATTTATGATGCAAAGCTGAATTTTCAGCATCATTACTCCAGTCTTCAGTGTCACATGATCCTCCAGAAATCACTCTAATTTGCTGATTTGCTGCTCAAGAAACATTTCTTATTATCAGTGTTGAAAACTTTTTTTCTTTTTTTTTTAGATTAGACATTTTTTGTAACATTATAAAGGACTTTACTGTCACTTCTGATCAATTTAATTTGTCCTTAATGAATAAAGGTATTCATTTCTTAAAAAAAAAAAAAAGATATTACTGACCCCAAACTTTTAAATGGTAGTGTAATTACAAATATCTCATGACAGAACTCTTCGGTCGGCTATCAAATGAAGCTTGCTCTTATAAACACTGATTATTAATGCTCGATTGATGCTGATTTGTGAGTCTAACCTCTTTCAGAATTATCTTTGTTGTCAAAAGGTCCAGTCAAGTTTGCTCCTGTGTCCTCACTGTCTGCGGCAGGTGTTGTGATGTCCTCAGGGATGGCAGGTGGAATCACTGGTGGTGTTGTTCCGTTTACTGGTGGTTCAGTTGGACTCACTGTAGTTTTGTACTGGACGTTCTCATCTTTTGTTGTGGTGGCCGGACTCTTAGTAGTGCTGTTGGTAGGTACAACGTCTGAGGGCAAATATCCAGAACCCGTTTCGTCAAGGCTGCTCTCTGTTGTGGTAGTCTCGGGTTTTGGACTGGTAAATGTGTCATTAAGAGCAAATTGATTCGTGTGCTCCGGCTCTGGTGTGGAGGTATTTGTAGCTGTCTCCTGGGTCTGTGTTTCATTGGATTCCGCTGAAGATTCTGAGGGCTCAGAACTTGAAGTAAGTGCAATCATAGGAGGTGGCGTTGTAGAAATGGGTCCGCCAGAACTGGCTTCCTCTGTGTCATTGTCCCTGTGATCAGGGATTTGATACAGTTCTGTGGAATTCTGCTTTTGTTCATCTCCTCCAGTAAATAGAAACGAGCCAAATGATTGTCCATCTTCTACTGAACTGCTCTCCATACTTTCTCCCATTGGAACAGATGGTTGAACAGGTGGTTTCTCACTAGACGACTGTGTTTCGTTGTTGTCCATTGCCCCATTATCTCTTTTCCACTCCTCGGGTATCTCAGTGGATACTTGTTGGAATGTCTGAAGTATCAAGAGGAGTGCAAGTATGATGCCCAGTGGCAATTTCATGTTGGGTTCTTCTACCTGCCAAAATGAGACACATTACTTGTGTGTATAGTGAATGTGCATATCACAGAAAGCACTTTGGTCTCACTTAGGATAAATTCTCAAGACCAACAGCGAAAAGAAGAGCAACAATGTTCCACTTTTTTAAATATGACAAAAGTTTTATCAAATATACATTGCCGCTATAAATGCTGGCATCAATCAAAAGGCGAATTCTCATAATATGAATCAACATTTGGGAAAAGATGCAAATCCTAAGATGTTTCTCCTCTACAAAATGAAAGTGTTCTTCAGTCTTTATTTCTCAGAAACCTCTGTTTAGCAGCCCTTTGTTCCACTCCCATGAGTCCTTTTCACTGAAGTGTATCTAAGCCCTCTTGATGCAAGTGTAATGTACACCATTCAACCATTTCACTGCATTGTAATAACAGGAGGTGAGCACACAATATTCTGTATTCTGTGTCTGGTATACAAATTACACACCCAAACTATATTTAGATACATTTTGAGTGAGATTATAACAAAACAAAAAAGGACAAAGTGACTCTCTCACATATACTTGTATAAATACTGTTTTGTACTTTTTTTGTGTATTGATGAGATGAGAAGTGGCATAATGTCGATAATTGATATCTATATTTTATTTTAATGTGTTGTTGAACAGACACACCCGCACTTAACATGTGACTAACTGGGTAACTATTTCCATCACGTTGTGACATCATAGCTATTCCTGTTTGGCCAGTTTATGCCAACCACCAACAAAACTATTTAGCAGTGACAATATTACAGAAATGAAATGGAAAGAGTATTTGGTATAAAGGAGTTAATTTATGGAACTTTCTTCTTATTTCACTTAAGAGCTCTAAAACTATTAATGCATTTAAGAAAAGATATAAGTTAAACATTATGGAAAAGTATAGAACACTTGAATGAAGAACATTAGAAAAGTAAGCGAAAGTGGATGCATAATATAATTTTGATTGTTGAAGTTTAAGTTCTGTGCTTACATGTTATCATTTTTGGTATAAGAGAAACCATAAAATTGTGTCATCTTTGGACATAGTGTTTTTGTTGTAAAAGGGGTTAGGCAAAATAAGTCTCGACTTCAGCCTAAACCCCTTCGGTCAGGTATTATTTAGCATTTAAATTCTTAGGTACTCATTTTGTATTTATCTTTCTAATGTATTTACATTTTCTTTTCTTTCTCTATTTGTTTCATTGTTTTATGTTTTTTTCATTGTGTACAGGATTTTTGAATTACATATGACCTAAGATTTAATTGTTCAAAATGACCGAAGAAAATAAATTACTAACTAACTAACTATTTGGGGTTCACATTAGTGACCTTTTTGTGTGTATTTATTTTATAGAACATTTAATCTGCCATGTCATATCTGAACCAGATGCTGATTGCTAGTGGCATAATTATTTTTCTTATTTACAAATATTATAAAGTTGTTGTAACAATTATTTATAGCATGTCTTTGTTCTTAATTTGGGCAATGGGCAATATATGAAGTACTCTACATTGTCAGTTATTATTATATTTTATGTTTGCTTGGCAATATTTCGGAGGCAATATGAAGTCAACATGAAAAGTTTGTCAATGCTGCCAAGGGGGAGGCCCTCACCTCCCAAAATAATAATAATAATTAAAGTACATGTCCATTAAATTAGAAATGTAAAATAACACAATTTTATACTTCTCTTTCCCTCCTTAAAACATCCTGGATAAAAAAATATATTTATAATAATATTCTAGTATTATAATAATATATATTAGTACTGTGAGTATGTGGCATCTCTTATGTTGAAGTTTGATGCAGGATTAAAGAATAGTCAATAACGCAATGTACAGATAAGAAATGTATTATGCAAATGTGTTAATCTATAATATGATATATATTCCATAGGTTTGTTTAAAGAATACATTTTTGGTTCATTTATTATTAGAGGTTCATCAGTGGATTCAGAAAAACTACTAATATGTCTAATTTTACTAATGGTTTTCAGGTGTTATGTGTCAAACCTCCCAATGGTAATTATTAGTTATTTAATCCTGATGATTTCCTTTGATGGATCAGAATTTCAATAGCCTTCATACCACTGACATCTAATACCTATTCTCTATTTTACACCAAACTAGCCCAGTCGAATGTGAAAGCAGCACAATTCCTCAATAGATTTCTATGTATTTAAAATTAAAACTGTGCACCTTACCTGAGTGCTGCCTGCTGGGCTCGGGTGAGATGATCGAGGTTAAAATAGAATCGCTTGAGAGTTCAGAGACTGTGCATCCAGAGACAAATGGCAAGGGGAGGGCTCTGTCTCGCTTGTGGCTATCAGGAAACTGGCCTTTCCTGAATTTGCACCTGTAAACCACACCTTCCTGCATGCAAACAGACAAATAAAGCATTGATGTGCGTCAGCTGTAACAATGAATTAAGCTGAACGTCAATCTCCAGTCATACGTCAGTTATACATACGTCATTACTATAAACGGGTTTATCCTGGAGGTGAGTTTTGAAGACTTTGAGCAAGTGAAATTCCCTGGAGGGAGGAGCACCTGACACGCTGGCTGGGCCTCTGAGCATTCCTCCCATGCCCTGTGTCCATGGCAACCCATAGGTTGCTCAGATCTGCTTTCATCCGCCCCATACCTTTGCAACATTAAACATTTTGTCCATGACAAAAGACACATGCTATTTTTACATGACCGATGACCTTATGCGTCATAAGGGCGTCTTTTGTGGTAGTGGGGTCAAATTCTGCATTTTTATAATGTCATACTGATGGTGAAATTTTTAGTCATGTCTTTAAGTGGGATAGTAGGGGTATGTTTCCAGTGCTTAATCATGGGCCTGTGAACAACCTGTGAAATATCATTGGCTGGAAGTGGACAGACTGGCCAGATGATTGTACTTCCCACATTTGCCCAGCAGAGGGTATTCTTGCATTAAATGTGGTCATTTCAGTTGCTACTTATTGTAGTAAGTTACTAAAATTATAAGGCCAGGAAAATGGCAGATGACCTTAATTTAATAAAGCATATTAAAAGACCCTCCCCCCTCCCAGATTATCCTTCTTTATTCTCAGTATTATAAGCTACTCCGTCTCAACAAAAATGCTGACCTGCTGTAAGAATGGAATCAGTAGGCTATACTGTTTTGCATAATATGCCATTGTTCTTCAGAAACAGTGTGTTTATTAATTTATAAAGTTTATAAAGTTACTTTATAGGTCTTTAATTTGCAGTATGTTGAAAATGTCCTTTTTGTAAAGATTTTTTATTTTATTTTAGTTGAAATGGGGAAAAAAGTATAAAGAAAAAGTAACAATTTGGGGCAATTTAATCAAGTTGGTCTAATTTGGGCCATTTAAATCGATTTGGTCTAACTCAATTTGGGCCAATTTAATTAAGTTGGTACAACTCAATTTGGGCCAATTTAATTGAGTTTGTCCAACTCAATTTGAGCCAATTTAAATAAGTTGGTACAACTCAATTTGAGCCAATTTAATTAAGTTGGTACAGCTCAATTTGGGCCAATTTAATCGAGTTGGTCTAACTCAATTTGTGTCACGAATCCAGTATGTGGCCTTCCACCCGATAGCCACCAGAGGTCGCTTCTCCATCATATTGACTCTCACACCACACTGGACAGCATTTCCCATCATCCATTGAACGGACAACACACACAACTGATTACACTAATCACACTCACAGCTGAGAATTATCTCACAATCACTATCACTCAATCACATTCTTTATAAACCTTGGACTTTCTCTCTGTGAGCGCCGAGTATTGTATAGCGCTTATCCTAGCGATAGCTACTCTACGGAGCCCACTCAGTTGTTTTAAGTCTTGCCTTGCCTGTGTTCTTGTGTTTTGATATCTTCCTGTGTTTCCAGGATTAACCCTTTGCCTTGCCCTTCGGACTCTGTTTGCCCCTCGTTTGAATCATTGCTTGCGTACCTGGATTATCTCTCTGCCTTGCCCTGTTGGATATTGTTCACCGATCGTAGACCCACGCTTGCCCTAGGGTCTCTCTTGTGTCTTGCCCGTACCATACCTGTTTACCGTTGTCTGACCCTTGCCTGTTTACTATGTTTCTAAATAAAAGCTTGCACATGGATCCGCACGCCTCACGTCTTGTTCGCCCCATTACAATTTGGGCCAATTTAATTAAGTTGGTACAACTCAATCTGGGCCAGTTTAATTAAGTTGGTACAGCTTAATTTGGGCCAATTTAATTGAGTTTGTCCAACTCAATTTGAGCCAGTTTAATTAAGTTGGTACAACTCAATTTTAGCCAATTTAATTGAGTTTGTCCAACTCAATTTGAGCCAATTTAATTAAGTTGGTACAACTCAATTTGGGCAAATTTAATTAAGTTGGTACAACTCAATTTGGGCCAATTTAATTAAGTGGGTACAACTCAATTTGGGCCAATTTAATTGAGTTTGTCCAACTCAATTTGAGCCAATTTAATTAAGTTGGTACAACTCAATTTGGGCCAATTTAATTAAGTTGGTACAACTCAATTTGGGCCAATTTAATTAAGTTGGTACAACTCAATTTGGGCCAATTTAATTGAGTTTGTCCAACTCAATTTGAGCCAATTTAATTAAGTTGGTACAACTCAATTTGGGCCAATTTAATTGAGTTTGTCCAACATTGAGTTCTCCAACAAGTATGATAACTACATTACTGTTCATAATCGGATGAAACCAGTGTGATATTACCAACAGGCCAACATATAACTTAAACTGTTCTAAGCTGGCTTGATCATCTTAGCTGGTTTTAACTAAACTAGTTTCAGCCTGGCTAAGCTGGCCTCTTAGTCTGACCTGCTGAAAAGGGACCAAAACCCTTCTAAAACTAACCAACCAACCAACACATCAGCATAAGCAGACAGAGAGACCAGCTAAAACCACCAAACCAACTTAGGCTTAGATATATTTTTTTAGCATGAGCTGAATAATTAAAATCATCTTTCCCATCTTTAAATGTTTATTATTAACTATCCCTTTAAACAAAATACATGTTGAAACATAATGTTGAATCCTTTCTGCTTGTTGCACTCTTGACTTGATATTCTTGTCAAATTCAGATGCTGTTTTTTTTACAGAAAAGTCCCTAGAACTTTTTTATGTTAACATAAAAATTGCAGTTGTTATGTCATGGTCATCATACAATTAGAAATATGATTAAAGAAGAAACCATTGCAGTGTTTCTCAATGTGGGTTGGGCTGTTTTTCAATTTGAAACTTTAGAGGGAATAACCAACATCACATTTACTTTACCGGTATTTACTTTCTTGACACTTTAAATGAGGCAACTAACTTCTGTCCAAGCCTTTTCAATTGAACATTTTGGGCATTGGAAAATGTTGTTTGCAGAAGGTTCCTATTCAAATGAATAAAATGAAATTGAGCCATAAACTTCCCCTGGAGAACAAAAGCTTGATGCCCATAGGCCAGACTATTAAACTACGGGGGCTTGCTTCACATCATAAAGCTACACACACTATAGTTGTCAAGCTCTGACTTCACAGAAAGCACTGTATTATGGAAAACTGAATAAAACTAAATAAAATATAAATTGATCATTGCCATGACAACATGGTCAAATGCTTATCCAAGGAAACTGTTAGATCAGCGAAAGCTTAGAAGTTTTTTTTATTTTATTTTTATTTGGGGCCTCCTGAAATTTAAGACCTCATGGCGGAGCGGTGAACTGTATTTGACTGGAGCAACCTGATGGATGGTGAGGTAACAGACTTATGCAGTGACAGTGTCAAATGTGAATAATTACAATACTACATGAAATGTGAATAGCAGCTGGACACTGAGAAAGCATGAACATCATGTCCTTGAGTGATGTTTTATTATACTGGAAGAAGCAAGCCAAACAATTAAAGCCATCATTCCCTTAACGTTTTTAATGGTTTACCAGAAGTTTTACTCAAACATTTTTTTTATGTTAATGGAAGCCAAAAGAAGATGTTTTAAATAAGGCAATATTTATTGAGCATTGGTAGAATGTTTTGTTCTATTAGATTTTTCTGAGTTATAGCCTCTGGGATATCTTGCAGTTTTCAAAATTGATGAGATAGATAAGAGTGAATTTTGATGTAGCCCAACCAACCAGTCTTGTTAATTTGTATCTTTCTTTTTTGTGACACTGTCTTGGATTCGGACAGTGAAGGCAATGTTTAATGTTAGTATCATTGCTTAAGCCACACGGTTAAATGAGCAATTATAGTAGTAGCATACAAGTTAATGCAACCCTATGTGACTTTTTTCTTCTTTACAACCCAAAATAGCCTATAAGTTTTAACTCTAGTATGTTCCATATATTGAAAGCAGATGTACACCAATGCTCATTTAAAAAAAACACATGACAAATACAATTTTAAAAATATAAATGAAAAGTAGGTAATTATTCCCTGAAAATCCATGTAACAGTCATGGTCACCAATCACGTGCATTTGATATTTCAAACAACAGCATATAATTGCAACTGTGATTTATACAACAGTTCAAAAAACAAGATGGTAATATTGAGTAACTTACATTTTTTGACACAATGTTGCCAGTTATTTTGTCTGTTTTTGCATCAACAACGAAAGCAGTTAGACAATGTCGCGTCTCTGAGTAGGCTACACAAAACCGGTGATTTCTTCTCAAATGAATCAGCATATTTTGAACAAATCAGTTTAGTGAATGATTAAAAGACTTAGGGTGAATTGCCCTAATGTGGGACATTTTTTGCACTTCAGACTTCTGTGACATATTGCAATGTATAACCAGAACATTAAATCCACACCCAATACCATTTTAAAAACCCCAGTATGTGTCCTAATCAAATCAAAAGACAAAATTCAGATAACCCATTCATAAGAGAAATTATAGACATATTAGTGCTCTTATTGCAAGTTGTCTGAGACAATCTGCAGCTTCCTAATGTGGGACAGTTGTGCCCCCAATGTGGGACACTGAAAAATCTATGATAAAATACCAAAAATCACATTGATACATGTAGAATAGTAAAATCTTATATTATTTTAGATTCTCTCTTAAATCTTAGTTAGTAATTCTCTTTGTCATGAATGAATGAAACATGTAAAATAACAAAATCTTTAGTTATCCATTTCCAGTAAACCAGTATCACAATCCATAAACAAGACCATTATATCAGTTATACTGTAAAAAAAAAATCCCGTTGTTTTTACGGAAAAAAACTGGCAGCTGTGGTTACCAGAACTTTACTGTCAAAAATACGGTATCAACGTTTTTGGTTTTACAGACTTAACGTAAAATTTACAGCA